GGGTATTGCGGGTGAAGGAATGAAACCACAAGGTGAAATAGGTGTGGTAGGTGAAATAAAATTTTAGTTGAAAACTTTGACACTTAATTTATTTATTGTTAATATAATATACACGATATCTGTCTATCTAGGTAATAAATTGTACAGTCCGTACCGTAGTTGTTTGGATCTTACATTTATGAATCTCAAAAAAATATAACGCTTGAAACAAACATGTGATACGAGGGTCGTTAAATATGCTTCTGTTTCGTTATTATCATCAGAGCTTAGTGGTGAAATGTTAAAACTCCAGGTGCCTACTTAAAATATCAAGCATGTGGGATCACTCGTTTTGTTTTGATAGTTTGAATGAGAATGAGAGATCGAAATGAAAGACCGGTGCAAGTTGGATTCATCCATTCATCCACCTTGGACAGGTGTACCTATAAAGAAGCTTGAGTTAGCAACAGTTAAACAAGTATAAATTGTGCATAACTCTTGTGCAGATAAAGCGCATTTTTTTAACCGAAATAGCTTTTGTTTTGACATCACCAATGGATATATTTCTAGCAGACGTCTCAATCGCCCTTTGTGTGTACCCTCTTCCGATAATCCGTTCTTGAGGTATAAGGGAATATACCCGATCACGATAAGAGATCGAGGAGGAGGGCTATGGTTGGTAGAAATTAATTCCTTTCGTTGAGACCTTTAGAGTACCATGAAGAATAAAAGTAGTTCCACTCCCCCCCACTCCATCCCGTACTTTGATAAGAGGACAGAAAGAAGGGCAGTAGTTGGTAGAAAACGGTTCCTTTCGTTGAGACCTTTAATTAGAATACAATGAGAGATAAAATTAATTTTTACCCCCTCCCTCAAGCCCCGTCGCTCACTGATCTCGAAAAAGAGTGCGCGGGAAAGTTATAGTTTGTACAAACCAATTTATTTTGATGAGATCTTTCATTAGAATACCATGAAGGGTAGAACATGTGCCCCCCCCCCATTTTCTAAAGTTTCACTTGGCACCACTAAAAGCACGCGTATGCAAAATCTGAGACCAATTGGTTGTCATGTAAAAATTATGCACGTTTTACTTTCAAAAACAGCATCTCAGGAACTAATTGGGGGGGGGGGCTTTTAGACAGCGAAATTTGATGGCCGTCTGGCACACCTTCAAGGTATAGGCTACCTACTGCAAAAAAATTCCAGGACTCTAGGACGATTCCCCTAGAAGTAGTTCAAAACGGTAGAAGTGGGTCCGGACGGACGGACAAAACGCAGACAATAGCCCATTTTTATTAATTTTTAAAAAATGCGCTAAAAAGTGGTGTATTAGAGTAGAATCGGTTCCGAAGAAGGCGCGAATTCGGTTGCGTCACTTGCGGTGGCATTAGTTTTCTGGGATGCAATAGCTATAATTATTCTGCAAGTCGACTACCTCCCTTGAAAAGGGTAAAATAATTAACGAAAAGTACTTACTATTTATGAGTATTCAGCACGTTTCGACCGTTTGCAGGCAGCCGTCGCGATGTAACGGCCTAGATTAGCCAAGAAGAGAATCTTTGGCCACCCGTTAGCAAAAAATCAATTTTGCCGAATAACCACAAGCCCTATAATATGGTACCTACCTAAGTAGCTCAGTAATCTCACCATTTGTTGTTTAAAATGAGACGGTTTAGCTACATACTTACTCACACTAATTTGACTTGTTCATTACAATAGGTATAGGCATTAGCGAATATGATTAGGTCACAATAAGGGTCACAATTAAGCAATAAAGAGAATGAGGCTTGATAACATAATAACGTTGAAACGAAGGACTTGTGTGCGTACCTTAAAAACCCTTTTAAACCAAATGGTTTCTCCCATAATTAAGAACGGCACACAAAATAGCGGCGAATTAGGGTCGCAAATTACTAAAATCAATCTTGTTAATAAGACAGATACTTGGAGTAATAAGTTTTGGCAGAAGCAAGTGTAAGTAAGCGATTCTAGCCACACTTATAGCGGCCAATTTGTTAACTGTCTGTGTTAGTAGAGATAAATAGGGTAGTTAGCCCTCTGTAAATGGTTTCGAAGTTTCTGCTTTTACTTCCGCGACTTTTCTAATAAAGGCATTTTTAAAGCAGAAACGTTGTATAAAATATTAACTAATATCAAAGAACCTTCTTTTTCAATAGTTACTACGACTGAGTTAGAGATCTGTAACAACGTAAAATAATAGATTGGCCGTGTTTGGCAGTTGTCACAAAACAGCTTATGGCGTTTATGCTAAAAAGACATAATTCAACTAACTAAAAGTACCAGAACAATTATATTAAACACCTGATACTAGTAATAATAGTAATAGCTTTGACTATAAACATATTTTATATTCAAAAGCAATAGGTAGTTGCTTCGTGTATATATATACCTATATACTATCCAGATGCTGCTAAGTCGCTTTATTATAACCACAGATTTAAATATACTATTTAAATCTGTGTTATAACATTTAATTCCCTGTACACTTCAAAAATAAATAGATACTACTACAATTAATGTAAGTAAATACAATTTATTCATTTATTCATAATTACATTCCATGCAAATTTATTTTGCCATGATCTCTGCCCTTCATTATTGTATCGAACACTCGAGAAATTTCGATAGACTTCGAGGCACCATGAAAGATTCGTCATCGACAATAAAGAACGAACGCAGATGTGACTTGAAATATTTGATTCTAGAAGGTTCGCGACCGTTCGGGAACACTCGACTTTACTATATAGGCTGATTCAAATTCGAGGACCACCATATGGGGATCTCGGAAACTGTAAGAGGTAGGTAGTTTAAATTGGCAAAGTTGCGTATTTTGATCCTTAACAAATTGCCGTTTTGAAACTGAAAAAATTCCGACTACTCGAAGATATCCTAAAAAAACGAAATTTTGCAAAATCGTTTTTATTTTTTACCGAAGCTATTTGAAGAGATATTTCAAAATAAATGACACATTATTATGGCCACTTTTTTCCCTCTGCAAGATGCTAGTTTTAAATGCGCCCCGCAGTTTGGGAACCACTGACTTAGAGGGTTTATAATGACATTATGGAAAGAAGATATTTTTGTCATCTAATGATATATGAGGTAGCTAATTTTCAGTTATACAGGGTGAGTCAACGATTATAACTTATTCAAGATATTTCGAAAAGTATCAGAGATAAGTACTTATAGGATATTATTACCATTAGCTAAAGGTTTTTGGAGCAGCTAAGACGACACAAAAAATATACAAGATGTTCCATTTATAAAATTGCAAATTTTTAGCACATTTTTGAAAAAAAAATACGCTATTATATTCGTTATGGCTGGTTGGCCGGCTGTCCGGTTGGATCTCAGCAACTACAATAGCTAGAGACTTCAAATTTTCACTAAAAGCTTTCTGTTATAGTGTAGATGTGCAGGTTCTAGTCTATTTTGAGTTAGATTACTTGTGATATCGATAATTTAAGAAAATAATTTCAATTCGGAGGTGCTATAATTTTACCGTTAGGTAGCGCTACCAGTATAAAAACCTAATGTTTTTCTTTGTGATTTGTTTTACAAAATAAAGACGTACGATCAATTGAAATTAAATAAAATTAATTATTTAAAGCAGCCAAAATTACTTGTGAGATCGATAATTTAAACTTCGCTAATAAAATACTGACCTGTATTACCAAAAATGCGCTTTAATCATGCATATGCTGATTTACAACTTGTTTAATAAAATTGAAAGATAGGTTATGTGATTTCCCAATAAAAAGTGACAATATGGATTAAATAATTTCAAATCAAGTGTCAACGTCCAGGTTGTTAAACCTTCAGTAAAATTGACACCAACATAACGACAGTAAAGCCCATCACACAATGAAAAAAATAAGGAATATGAAATATGGAATAAGAAATAGTGACGCCGTAGATACACGCAAAACACAACAAACAAATAGCAACAGACTATAAGCCAATCAGAACACCATGCCGTTTGAATTTATGTCATTATAATGGCAGTTAAATGTAAGGCAATAGCAGGCTAATTGCACCGACCGATCAAATATAATTCCAACTTCCAAGTTCATAACTTCCCAAAAACAACACCTCATACTTGTTTTATTTTAGGTTTACAAGATAAAATAATAAATATAGAATACGCGTGCGCGCCTCTTCTAATGTCATTGGTTCGCAATATGAATAAAAAAAAGGAATAAAAATTCGACTGAACGAAAATATTTTTTTTTAATTTCCTAGGCTTATTTCATATTTCAATGTTGTGTGCAAATCCATAAAGATCAGTAGATTAAAAATTGTTATTCATTATTTCTTATTCCTTATTTTTTGCATTGTATGATGGGCTTTACTTTTTATTTGACCAATTGAACGTCAGTTTGACATGTCGGGAGTTTAGGGTCATATTAGATGACCATTTTTTAAACGTTGCCGATGGCCGTTTGCACCGACAAATTTTAGCGGCGCTTTAAGCGTAGCTTAAAATCCATGACAACCATTGTCTCAATAATCGTTGCCATGATTTTAAGCTACACTTAAGCTAAGCGCCGCTTAAATTTGTCCGTGCAAACCGCCACGAATTGACTTTATTTCGCTGTTCTTGTAGTGTGAAGTTAGCGTACAACCTGGGGGTTTATAAGTACACTACAACCACGAACTTATAAATTAAGATGGACTGCTAATGCTGAATTGACAAATGACACCTACATGGGGGCAGCCATGATGTGCACTTACTTGGAGCGAAATTCAAATCAACTAATAAACAAGCATTAACCTCACGTTTTCTAAATAAATTACTGTGACACATGTCATCTTCCAAGGCTGCAATAGTCTCAAACCTTGAGCACTATAGTCCGTTTTAAAACTAAGAGGAGCGATTTAAATAGCGCCCGCGAAATATCTGAATTGTGATTGGCTTATACGGCGCCGTTTTTACACAGACGCAATTTCAGGATCTTGACATTTTGACAATTCAGTTGACATCTTTAATCTTTATTCGCTGTGTCATTTGCATTGTGTTGTACGTATTTTATTTAATTTTGCCTTTTTCGTGTGTTTTAAGTCTTGTTCAAATTTCAATTATACAAATCAGTTCTTATTAGAACTAAACCGGGTACCTGTACTTGATGTTGTTGGTGCAAATACTTCGAAATATGGATTCCACGCCAAGTACAAGTAAAGCGAACATTTCACCTGTAAAAAGGCGTACGCGTCTTAATTTGGGGCATTTATCGATCTCAGAAAAGCAGTGCATACTCAACTTATATAAACAGATATTAACTGATGACCCTGGCACAAAGATGGTTACCATTGTTGCAAAAATTGCTGATGCCGCAGGTAAGAAACGAAATACACATTAAATGTTAATTTAACACACACACTTTTTTATATAGGAATTGCAAAATCCACGGTTTACCGAACAATAAAGGAGTATAAGAAAACGGGAGCTGTAACTCCTTCTAAACGTTCGGGGGGTCGCCCACCTTTGGTATCGCAATTTGAGGAAAGCACAAAAACATCAGTTCGTCAAATTATTCACAACTTTTTCTACCACAGTGAACTTCCCACTTTGGACAAAATCTTAAAAGAAATTAATAGTCGTGAGGATTTACCACAAATGTGTCGTTCATCTTTATATAAATTAATGAAGCAAATTAATTTTAAGTAAGTTTTCTTTTATTTATTTTCGAATGTGGTATTAACACGTACATGCATTCTTTACAGATATTTAAAACGCAGTCGTAAAAGTGTTCTAATTGAACGAGACGACATAATAAGATGGAGACGAAAGTATTTAAAAGCTATTAAACAATATAGGAACGAAGGACGAGCCATATATTACTTAGATGAAACATGGTTAAATGAAGGCCATACAAAACAGAAAGTGTGGACTGATGATAACATTCGTACTCGACGACAAACGTTTGTGGAAGGATTGTCTACCGGTTTAAAAAATCCTTCTGGAAAAGGGAAACGTCTCATTATTTTACATGTTGGCTCTGAGAACGGTTTTGTAAACGAGGGTCTACTACTTTTTGAAGGAAGAAAAACATCCGATTATCATGAAGAAATGAATGCGGAAGTGTTTGAAGAATGGTTTGCATCTTTCTTAGTGAAAATTCCTGAAAATGCTGTAATTGTTATGGACAATGCACCATACCACAGCCGAAAGCTGGAAAAGATTCCCACATCGTCATCTCGTAAAAGCCAAATGCAAGAGTGGCTTCAAGCAAAAGATATCGATTTCGATGAAGAAATGGTTCGATCTGAACTTTTACAATTAATTATTTTAAATAAATATAAATTTGATGCATATGCTACTGACGAAATGGCAAGAAGCAAAAACAAAATTGTGTTGAGGTTGCCTCCTTACCACTGTGAGTTAAATCCGATCGAACTAATATGGGCTAAAATAAAAACTGAAGTGGCATCTAAAAATAAAACATTTAAACTAAAAGATGTGAAACAACTTTTTTTAAATGCAGTTGAAAATGTTTCGGTTAGTGATTGGCAAAGGTGTGTAAATCATATTATTAAGGAGGAAGATAAAATGTGTAATTTAGATGGTATAATGGATAACATTATAGAACCATTCATTATTTCAGTTGATACCAATGAGGACAGCAGTTTTGGTGAAAGTTCTGATGAAGGTGGTAACTAAACCATGTTATGTATTAATCCATTAAAGGCTGTTATAAATTCATTGCGAGATTCATTGTTAATTAATTGTAAATAAATAAATCACGTAATTAAATTTACTTTACAATATATTGTAACTATCACCTTTTGATTTTATAAAATGATTGCATTTATGTCTACATAATAATAGTACATTATATACCGCGGGACTGAAGTAGTACTTTTATTTGTTACTCAGTTGTAAACGTTGATTAACAAGACAAAACGCAAACGGGTAAACGTCATGTTTAAACGCTACTGACTTGTAAAACTGACAGCAGACTTGTAAAACTGACAACAGACCTGTAAAAATTTTGCAAGTTAGTAATCTAGTAATTTCATTGGCCAGAATTAATGCGAAGTCTCTATTACATGGATCACATGATATTTTAGACATTTCTTCAAGATCAATTTAAGAACTAATTATTTACGTTTACTATTGTTTACAAATGAGTAACAAATAAAATATTGTACATTATACGCCAGGTAATAGTTTTTACTGGCTCTAGGAGATGACAGGCTCGCCTAACGGCTCGCCAGTCAACTTCTCCTATCGCCAGTAAAAACTCACTTACCTGGCTAATAATGTAAAATACTATTAATCCCGAAGGTAAAGTTTAAAGGGAGGGCCATAATTTACCTGAGGGATTAAGACCACTACTTCAGTCGCAAGGTATATACGATATTTTTCGTACTTCCGAAACTGAAACACTTAATATGTATGGAGTTAGAGAACGCGTTCTTTCAAAAAATCGCTGCTTAACTACAAGTTACCATAGGAACGTTGCGTTGGTACGACAAACCCTACGCTATGGTAACAAAAATAATTTGGAAACTGTCATTGCTAGTGTCATGATTTTGGTGGTGGGTGACAAAGGTGTATTTGATATTGATAAAAAGCAGCCAAATTAGGTAAAGAATTGATACCACTGAAATCCAAAAAACTATATGAGCAGCAGTACGATGCGTTTAAGAAGTAGTGCAGTATACAAAATGTGGAACAACCTACTGAAATTGCCTTAGTAATTTCATCCTTCCGGGATTTTCGTCCAAATTTAATCCCGGCGGGACAAAAAGTGACACTTTAGTACTTGTCATAATGGAGTGAAGTTGTCACTTTAGTCTCGGAAGTACGAAAATAAAATTTCTTTTTTTTAAGTCAAATGTGTAGCAGTAAAGTGTATTAAAACACCATAAAAATGATCCAACACACCATTTATAATGTATGCCTTATATCGTAGGCAACCCATAATGCACATGTGTACGTATGTATCCATATACTTAAAACAATTGCCCAAAAGTTACTAAATTTAGTAACTTTTTCGGATGTAAATCAGACTTTTCAAGTTAAGGTGGGTTCATAGCTCTCCGTTCATCCGTTGCGTTGATCCGTCAAACGGATAGTACGTTTTATTAAGGTTCATAGCAATCCGTCCACATTGTACATTTGCAAGTATAACCATAACCTAATCTTTATTTTGTAGTGTACTCTCCGTGATTTTGAGTATGTGAAAATGGTACGAAAGTAAGAACACGTTGCTATCTGATTATTACCGTGAAGAACGAATAGGCGAACGCTGTTAACATACCAAACATAACCTCACTCTTGTTAAAAACGGACCAACGGAAACGTAAATGTTCAACTTCAACCAACTTTTTCGTCGTAAACGGACGACGTACGATTTAAAAATTTGCTGTCTTCTGATTGGCTAACGGACAAACGGAAACGTATGAACGGAGAGCTATGAACTTACCTTTACTCCTCTTAGTTTAAAAACAGAGTATAGGAAAATTCCCCTAGAAAATAAAGTGCACATCATGACCGCGCCCATGCTAGAGCCATTTCTACCTCTATGCAACTGTTTGATCAGCAGTCCATCTTAATTCATAAGTTCGTGACTACAACATTTATCACAATATGCCTGTGTATACCGATGACACTGTGGTGACGTATAAGGGGGGGGGGCCGTTGCTATAGTATTTAAGTTATGCTTAACTTTAAGGGATACTTAATTTTGATGGTGCAATTGGCCCTATGTTTAGTAAAATGAAGGATTCTATTTTTCCGACTTGTGTGGTATTTGACGTTTTGTATAAATATTGCCGAAGTGTATCATTGATCGCATCCCAATCCTTGCGCTTCAATGACCATGCGCGAAGTTTTGACACCACCAAATGTAAATAGAACAGTAATTGCGAATGTAATTTAAGCGGCAAAGTTATAATTGTTTAATCCATCAAATTGTTTATAATGGTAAGTAAATCGAAATTAACTCAATTTTACAAACTAGTCGTAAGTTGAGACGCTTTCTTCGTGAATTGCACATAGGTTATGTTTATATTTACTTTACGTACGTAGTGGGAGGCGCGAGTCCCTAGAAAATGGTCGCCACCGCTATCGCGAAAGCTTTGAGAAGTTAATTCATTCTGCAATGTACGCTGTCTGATTAGAATGTCATCGCGTTTCGAACTCACGTAATGTAGTTTTTTCTCGAGTAAATTGTTCCTGTATAAAAATGGTAACCGTCAGCCAACAAGAGAGCGTATCCAGCCACGTTTCATTGCGAAACAAAATTGGTTCGGCTTTTTTATATGGCATTGCGTCGTTTATGATTACCGTCGTCAATAAGACGGTGCTTACAACCTATGGTTTTCCTTCATTTCAAGTCGTCGGTTTGGGGCAAATATCCGCCTCGATCGTGGTGCTGTTTCTTGCAAAAAAGTTGAAAATTGTGCGGTTTCCCGACTTGGAATGGAAGACCTTCAACAAAATCATGCCGCTCCCTGTGATATTTATGGGAAACCTGTTGACTGGACTAGCCGGCACGAAGGAGCTGAGTCTCCCAATGTTTACGGTCTTACGGCGATTCTCAATTTTGATGACCATGATTGCCGAGCTGTACGTTTTAGGTATAAGACCAAGCGTTGGTGTGCAATTTAGTGTTTACACAATGATACTGGGTGCCGTAATAGCGGCCGGTAATGATTTGGCCTTCAATTTAATGGGTTATCTTTACATAATGTTAAATAATTTCTTTACATCGACGAATGGGGTGTACATGAAAAAAAAGTTGGAGGCAAAGGAGCTGGGGAAGTATGGATTGGTGTACTATAATTCGCTGTTTATGTTTGTGCCCGCTTTTATATTGTGTTTTTGTACAGGCGATTTGAGAATAGCGTACGAGTATGAATCGTGGGGCGATGTACTTTTTTTAAGCCAGTACTTGCTGTCTTGTGTAATGGGATTCGTTTTATCGTACAGTGTAGTGCTCTGTACGCATTATAACTCCGCCTTGACCACTACCATCATTGGTTGCTTAAAAAATATTTGTGTGACCTATTTAGGTATGATTATCGGGGGCGATTATATATTTTCGTGGGTGAATTTTATTGGGTTAAATGTTAGTGTTTTAGGTAGCTTAGTATATACCTATGTGACATTCAGGCGAAAAGATACCCCCTCATATACTGCAATTAGTACAAGTATACCGAATAAGATTGAAAACGTCTAGTATTCATTTGTCTGCTCAATTTCGTAATGTCAGTGCCATGCCACTTGCCAGATGAAATTTAGTTGTATAAACATTAATTACCAAAGTCAAATTGTACATAGTGTTTATAATGTACCTATATTAGATTAATGTATTTTAACCAGTGATAATGTAGCTATTGAACAGAAACCTTGAAATTTATTGTCAATTTTTTGTATTAAACGTGTAGATAGTTAGGTCATTCTAACTGTTTTGTAGTATACAGTGTCAGTGTTTTAATTTTTATTACTTGCTCAATGTTAATAGTAATTTTTATCATTAGACTGATAATACACGTTTAATTTCCTTCTGTGATGTAGGTAATTATTAAATAAATCATTATTTACTCTGTTTAATTTTAACAAAATACACAAAACTTAATTATTTTTATCTCAACTTTATCTTGTAATTTAGGTGTGACAATTTACTATTTCTACAGTTTCGGAAATAATAAAAATCCATGAACAGGTCTGGTAACATGGAAATTGAGAGATATCTACTAAAATCAGCTTGGGATACCACAAAATGTATAATAACCCGAACATTTCCGAACGTTCTAGAACATTAGTCCAGTCAAATTAGACAAAATAAGGGCCAAACCCGGAAATTTGAAAAAAAGAAGCTGAAAATTGGCGGACATGTTCAGGATAGTGCCAGAACCAATTTCCGAAAAGATCCCGGTTGGGGAACGGACGCCATCTTGAAAAAACTACCCCTAAACTCGATTTCTCCAGTTTTGAGCAAAACTAATGAACCAATGGTCTGATTCTCGTTGCTAAGGTGTCAAAATGTTTGTTTTAATGTGTATTTGGAGTAAAAACATAATTCGGCACATAAAGACACCCTTGGAAATTCGAACTTTTTTAGGAAAATCACCCCCAACCTGGATTTTTCACGTTTTCGGCATTTGTTGTTTTGTTTGCGCAATCCTAGGATTGGTTGGACGAAGTCCTCCACCTTTTCCTATCCTGCGCTAATCTTTTCAGTTCTACATAACTACCCTTGCCTACGTCCCTAACTCCGGTCTTGCGCTCTGCCCTACCTTCTATAGCTAGTAGTGCTATTCCTCCGTGTCTTAGCACGTTCGCTATCATTGTATCTCGTCTTCTCTGTACGGTTTTCATTTCCCTATTTCCTGTACTAGCTCCAAGACTGCTTCGTTTGTTACCCTATCCATCCAGCTAATCCTCATTCCATCCTACTTTTGCCTGCCTATCGTCCAGGTTTCGCACCTGTATGACCTACACTCCATTTGTACGTTTTTAGCAATCTTTTCCTAATTCCTATATTTATCTCGGATCTTAGCAGGTCCCACGTTTATTCTAATGCTTTTTTAGCCTGCGCTACCCTGGATTTTATATCTTCCTTGCAACGATTATCTTGTGTAACCTTACTACCTAAATAGCAAAAGGAACGGTTATCTTAGAA